TTAATTTCCTGAGCTGCTTAATAAAGCATTAAAATAATAGTTGTTAATTAAATATACGGTTACCCTTCACTTAACTTTACCCAGATTTCAGCTTAATTAAAAATATTAGCATTTTCTGTGTGAATGTAAGCTGTTCTCAACATATGTTTCTTTTATGGCAGAAACGGAACACCTATCATAGATTTCAGATAACACAACGTATTCCAGGAGTTTTACAGTTTCCGGGGCAAAATATCTTTCTCATTAAAAGTCTTTGTATGTCTCTCATACATGAGCTTGGTCTCAATAACATTTAATTCCTACCTCAGGGAAAATATCTTACCTCTACACTATAATCGGTTAATGATGTTCACAGAAGTAGTCGCAGATTCTTCTGAGAATCATGTAAACCCATAAACTCACTCCTTCTGCAAACAGCAGAAATTCAGTGATTTTAAAGCAGGCGGTATGTACAGTAACCACTGTTTTTAGTGATTACCCTAGTAAGGTAAATTTAAAAGTAAAGACAAATTTACCTTGTGCTTAATTATTTAAGCATTATGCCATGAAGACGTATTGGGGAGGGAACATATAGCTCCACCAAACTTGATCTCGGCACTAGTTGGATGTGAGTGGCAGCTTCACGCCCCGGCAGCTTTACCCCCAGGGAAGAAGAAGCACCGGTACTCATTGAATAGAGGGCCGGGTGAGAACCAGAGCCATTTCTGCTAATAATAATTTCGTGTGCATTTCATATTTTATGTACTTTTCTGACAACATTATTAAATATCAGTAGCATGTCCTCCCTATCTTGGGTACTAACTTCAGACATAATGTTTTACCAGTAGCCAATATTATACAATAAAATATAAGCCAAGGGAATGCAGAATCGTTGGCAACACCAGGAAAAGATGAATAGGAAACTAAGGTCGGAACAGGTTTATCCCAATTCATGGCAACAGAAGAAGAAGAAGGGGATATAACACACTGAGTCAACACGTTGGCATCTACGCCAGATGACAGCGCTGAACATACACCGGATTCAGATAAGGAAGCAATCAGTGAACGACTAGGTTGATCCGAATGTCACTATAATTAGCCAGGAGCATATGTCCATCAGCCGGTCACGGTAGCCGAAAGGTTTAAGGCATGTACTGCTTTCGCTAGCTCGAAAGCCAGGATCGTGGGTTCGAATCCCAACCAGGGCAAAGATATTTGGTGTTTGTGTGTGTGTGTGTGCGTTTTCTGTGTTTGTGTATTCCTTGAGGACTTGAGACGAGCTGATCTCCCGCCCAAGGAGTTCTACCAAATGTCTAAGATCTAGAAAACCGAAATTAAACAGAAGAGCTTCATGGAGGTAGGCTAAGGCCCAAATTGGGGCTGTAGCAGCAAATGAAAAAAAAATTCCAACTAACTGTACAGGGATCGATCCCTTTCGGCGCCTGTCTGTTCGGATCTTCGCCTTTACGCCTCGTCTCCTCTCGTTCCATCACTAATGCCCTTAGCCTTGATTTCTTTGATGAGGGACATTAGACGCCAGCCACCATTCTCGATTTACGAGCCACTCACAGGGTTATTTACTTCGTCTGTTCTTCCCTTGAACCACGCCGTGACGTCCACAGAGGTTTCTAAATATGTCAGGTCATGAAAATGCCCCCCCCCCCATGCACATTTCGTTTTCCAATTAAGGCTTCGTAACGAATGCGGCAGAATGACTACCGCCACTTTCAGTATTTATAGTGGACTTAATTGCCATCGATCGTAGTGGCACTAAACTGCCTTCCAAATTAAACTGCATTCGACCAACACACAAACAAAGCAGAATGAAATTATTTTAACATGAATGCTAAAATGTTATAAAGGCGTTTATTTTGGAGCACGCGGTAGTGCTGTTGGTTGAGTCTCTGTGTTACAAGCCGGAAGGTCGCCAGTCCCTATGATGTAGATCCGCACTATGGCCCTGAGGTCGACTCAGCTTCTAACAGAAATGAGTACCAGGAATCATCCTGGGGGTTAAAGGGCGTCCGTTGCTGATAACCTTACCGACATCTGTGAGCCGATTGTCTAGAAAAAAGTGTGGAAGCCTCGACGTCTCATACCCCTATGGGCCTTCATGGCCTATTACATTTTTTTTATTTATCATTTATTAGCAATCTGAATTTGCATTCTATGAGCTAATTTGCTGTCATGTACAATAATTATTCTATTGTACTAAGTTGGCTTGAAGAGCTGTAATCCATCGATTACGCCTCAGTTTTCCTGGAGATCGTTTGGCCAAGTTCGTCTTAGTCTTCTGTATTGTGTAGGTTGAAGGAGAGCTTCTATTGCGTTGTTGGGGTGAGATTCCAGTTTCTGATAATGTTTTTGGATTCTGTCTGTGATTACGGTTCTTACATATGGGATCTTGAGGTCGGTGTGAAGAGTTTGGTTTGACACGTACCAAGGTGCGTCAACTATGGCTCTAAGTATTTTGGATTGACTTCGCTGGATGATTTCTATGTTGGACCTGCTGGCGCATCCCCAGAGCTCAATGCCGTATGTCCATATGGGTTTAATTATTGTTTTGTAGATCAGTAGTTTATTATCTATTGTTAGGTGAGATTTCCGACCTATTAGCCAATTTATTTCCTTGAACTTAATTTCGATTTGTTTTCTCTTCTTCGCTATATGGTGTTTCCAGTTTAATGTTGAGTCCAGGTGTAGTCCTAAGTATTTTACTACATCCTGCTGTTGAATGTTAACATGATTTAGGTGTACTGAGGGGCAGTTACCTTTCCTGAGAGTAAAAGTCACATGCGCCGATTTGCTTTCATTCACTTTGATTTTCCATCGGTGTAGCCATTTCTCCATTAGATTCAGATGTTCTTGTAAATTAGATGAAGCAATTACCGGGTCTTCTGACGTAGCGAAAATTGCTGTGTCGTCTGCGAACGTACCTATTTTTGTTAATTCGGTGGTCTGAATATCTGAGGTGTATAGTACGTAGAGGAGTGGACCCAAGATACTGCCCTGAGGAACTCCTGATTGTATGTTCCTTCGGTTGGATACTTCAGCGTTGATTTTTATTTCGAATTCTCTGTCTGTTAGGTACGACTGCAGTATTGCGAAATATTTGGCCGGTAGAATTCTTCTGATTTTATAAAGCAGGCCTGGATGCCAAACTTTGTCAAATGCCTGACTTACTTCGAGGAAGGCAGCAGTGCAGTATTGTTTGTTTTCCATAGCTTGGTTAGGTTAGGTTAGCTATTCGGTGGCATTGTTGTACGCCTGTTACATGAACAGCTTTACCTTAAATGCATTTATTTATTCTTAAATGCAGCTGACAACATTTGACGTTAAAGATATGAGCAGCTATGGGATCCGAAATCAAGATTAACTGTGTTGGCGAGGGCCAGCAGTAAATTACTCCACTGCACTTAACTGTACTGCACTTCATTCTTTGTCAAGTGATCTAGACTAGTTCTTTCTGACAGGCATAGCTGCATAGAAGCCTTTCCTCCATCACACCTGAAGATGGAAAGAGATATTTCTGAAACCTTATGAGTGAAAGATATTTTAAATTGTGGAAAGTGGCTGATATAATAATTATTTTTCAAGTTTGTATCATTTCATTAACAGACAACATGCGGCACGATTAGAATTCATGAGTCATTAGTAGAAACAGCTTATATATAATGAGTTGTGACGCTTCAGTAAACTGAACGCTGGAGGGGCACGGGAGTTGATCGTAGTAATAAACAGAGGCTTGTTCACAGGGACTTGTGATAGGAAGACAGCACGCAAGCTCTCCACGAGGTGGGGCGTTTGAAGTTTAGTAGCCACCTGTGCTTGTCTCATCTTTTTTGCAGAGAATGGAACTAGCCTTCCAAGAATTAATACACACGCAAAAAGGACATACGTTTCACAGAATGGGTGTAATTCACACGGATGCCACACAGTCCGTCTTCTCTCAATTGTGCAAACAACAAAGGCTTTCCGATTTCACATGTTCAGTTCGACCTTCTCAAGGTCTTCCTCGATTGTTTGTCTGTTTTGGTTTATAATGTAGAATCTGTTTCGGTATTATCTCGTCAGGCATTCTGTTCATAACTCACAAGACTGTATTAAAAGGATTTCATTATTAGCTGCTCTTGTCCATTTTCCGGCCCCTTTTACTGACCTGGAGCTTCTGCCTAGTTCAAAACTGGAGCGTCTACATGGTCCTGAACTGGAGCTTCTATCTAGTTCTGAACTGTAGCTTCTATCTAGTTCTGAACTGGAGATTCTCTCTAGGTCTGAACTGGAGCGCCTACATAGTTCTGAACTGGAGCGTCTGCCTAATTCTGAACTGAAGAGAGCATGTACTTAGTTCTGAACTGATGTGCCGTGTCATAGCTCAAGCGGTTAGTCGCTGGCTTCCCACCGCGGCGGTCCGGGTTCGATCCCGGGTCTGGTCAAGTCGGATTTGTGGTGGACAAAGTGGCTCTGGGGCAGGTTTTCTCCGAGCACTACGATTTCCCCTGCCAATCTTCATTCCACCCATTGCTCTACACTCACCCTCACCTATCATCTGGGGCTGGTACAATAGGCCAGAAGTGGCCGCAGTAGAAGAGACTTAGTCCCACCCTAATATCTATAAAAAATAGTTCTGAACTTAGCGTTTGCTGATTCTGAAGTGGAGCGTCTAATTAATTCTGACCTGGAGCTTATCATATTTCTGAACTGGGGCGTGTTCCTAGTTCTGAGCTAGAGATTCTGCCTAGTTCTAGAAAGTTATTTACACCCTGCCTCATCCTCGTTCAAATTTTTACACCTTTAACTTGTTCTTCTATCCTGAGATGGAGGTAACTGTCAGAAGACGTGGCATCACCCCCGAGAACACAGTTATCTTCGCATTTTGTGCAGTGGGAAGCTTAGATCAGCACATCCTCAGCATAAATTTCTACGATAACTGCAGCAATGCTACTCATGACTGTATTTCCCCTGAGTACACAAAACAGGCATCTCCAGTGACGAGGCACTGTGTACACTGTGTTACTTACCAAGGGGTCCACTTTAAGGCGCCGCGTGTGGGGGACACTACGCCTACTGCGAGCGTGGGGCAACGAGCGGTGAACGAAGTGAAACTCATTCGGTGAGCCCAGAACCTGCAAAATACAACACGACAATCAAGACACAGAAATTAATTTATAATTTAATATCTCAGTATTTAATTTTATTGCTACAGTTACTGCAACAATTTTCTGAAATGAAATACTCCGTAATAACAAATTTTGTTTATAAATTCATCTTGATTTTGTCTTAAAATATTATCCTTTTCGAAAAAATGATTACAACACAGCAAATTAAGGAAAGTTATATGATCGAGCAGTCGGTGAAAATTAAATATTTCGGAAGCAAATTGATTACATGAAATATATCGACCGAAGTTTTTGCGGTTCTCTTCCAAACAAATGTTGGGGCAATAAATTAAAATAGAAAATGGCCGTTTCTCACTCATTCATTCCAATTCAATGTTCATTATCATGAAACCATAAGACGCAATATAGACCTAGACTTTATAACTGATGGCGTTGTTAAATAAACATCAAACAAAACATTTTATCGCCATTTACATTCTGTAAACTATAGTAAATAAAAAGACAATATTGATACTGTGCTTAATTAATTAAGCACCAAACCATAAAGATATATGGCGGAGTGGAGGTAAGCTCCATCATCCTTGACTTCGATACTAAATGGATGTGAGTGGTCAGCTTCAAGACCTGACCACTTTGTCCCAGAAGAAAGAATCCCTGGTTCCCATTGGATAGGAGGCTTGTTGGGTCGCAGAGCCGGTCTAGGCAACGTGGAAGAGAGAAAATTCTCTTACCCCTGCTGGGAATCGAACCCAAGCCCTCCAACCTGTACCCCTCGCTATACCGACTGAGCTATACCGGCTCATAAACTATACCAGGAATGATTATAAATAATATGAAATTCTAATTTACCGGGTTGGCGAATTTATGTGCATATACACATGAAGTCGATGACCACCTCTGTGGTATAGTGGCCAGAGTTCCTGGCTACAGATTCTGAGATCTCGGGTTCAATTCCCGGCGCTAACAGATATTCTGAGGAGCAGTGGGTCTGGAACGGGGTCCACTCAGCCTCGTGAGGATAACTGAGGAGATGTTTCAAAGAAATAGCGACTCCGGTTTAAAGAACAGAAATTAACGACCGTGAGGAATCGTTGCTCTGATCACGAGACATCCTCTATCCGCTAAAGTTGGCACTAACTTCGCCGAAAAGCGGCGGTCGTTCGGTAGGTATAGTTCGCTTGTGGACTCAAATCACGGAGTTTGTTTTTAGTTTTATACGCATGAAATCGGAAGCCACAATATATACATATATATAATGTATTTACCTGTTGATTTCAGAACAATCCAAATAATAGATTTGAGGTTCTCACAGCGGAACTATCTCCTAAAACTTGACGCCGTACAGTTGAAACTCACCGAGGCTTTGGAGGAATACCTTGCCTCCATCATCAGTGTAGAAGTGTAATCTAAACAGGCGACCAGCAAGAAAATGCGTATTTCTGTTTGCTGTCTGCTCATTGCTGTTGTCTTACTTGGCTTACTTTTACAGTGTGTCCAGGTTCTATTAAGACTGTGTTCACTAAAAATATAAGACGTGAATTATTTTCAAAATTTCACACTTTTTATTCAAAACAGTCTCCTTCTGAATCAATACATAGCTGTAATCGATTAAAAAGTTTTCGAAAACAGTCACTGTACTCCTTTTGTGGAATCGCATTTAAAACTTCGGTGCATTCCCTTTGGATGTCCTGGATGGTGTCGTGACGGTCTCCTTTCATCGCCAACTTAACTTTTGGTAACAACCAGAAATCTGCTGGCGCCAAATTTGGCGAATACGGAGGATGATGAAGGCAAAAAGATCGCGCACGATCTTCGATTTGTGGGGTGGGGCATTGTCGTGGAGGAGCGGCCAGGAACCTTGCTCTCGATATTCAGGTCGAATTCGAAGAATTCTCGCCCGCAATTGATTGAGGACTCCGAGATAATAATCAGAATTCACTGTTTTACTTACTGGTAGAAATTCCCTGTGAATGATTCTTTGGAATCGAAGGAAACGGTTAGCAGTGTCTTTACTCGACTCTTTTGCATGCGCACTTTCTTTGGTTTCGGCTTCTTTGGGCTCAACCACGCTGCACTCTGCTGCTTTGTGAGAGGCTCATATTGAAACCACCATGTCTCGTCACCAGAAACAATCGATTTTGTAAAGTCTGTATCACTTTGGGCCGACCGTAACATGTCTTTGCAGTGTTCCACTCTGGCATGTTTTTCATCGCCTGACAGCGCGTGCGGTACAAACCGCGCACAGACCTTCCGTTTGCCCAAATCCTCGGTCAAAATTTGATGCACAGTCCTTTTTGGTATTCCCAAAAGCTCCTCGATGAGTCTTGCAGTAACACATCTGCCTGATGCAGGGATTTCGGTCACTTTTTTTTTCACATTTTCTTCAGTGCGACTTGTTCTCGGCTTTGATGCACGTGGAGCGTCTTCAATGTCCTCCCTGCCGTCACGAAATACAGCAAACCATCGAAAAATGTTCGAGTGACTCAAACAATCACTAGCGTACATCATTTCGAACGCTTCTCCGGCTGTTTTGCCTAACTTAAAACAACATTTCATTTTGGCTCTCTGTTCAATCGCCATTTTCCGACGAGCGTCAGAACAGTACTGTTACATTCAAGGCCAGAACACATGATGCAGCGAGGCTTGCGCTTTGAAATTATAGACAACCACAACTGAAACTTCAAGAATCTTAACGCCACAACTCGCCAACAGATGGCATTGCAGGGCCAAATTAAAAAAAAAAGAGTCCTAACGGATCCTGGACACGCCGTGTAGATTCTCAAGATGGAGATGACGCGTTCTTCCGAAACGTCAGATAATTCCAGGGATACGTGGTGTCATATCCCAGTATATCGCACTTCTCGTAGTCACCGCTGTGATAACCTCAGATCCAACTTATCTCTTGTTACTTCGGGTCCAGAATCAGACACTGACGGAACTGCTTCCATTTATGATGCACTAAAATTTCCTGGTATCTCTACCGAGGAAGAAATCTACATCAAGATAAAGAGGCGACTTGCAATGCCCGAGCGACAGCTCTGAATTGCCCCATAATTCAAAGCGTAATCCAAAGCTACAATCTCTTTCATTCTCCTCGGAGTGACAATCGTTTTTCATCACAAAAACTTTCTCCGTAAGTTCAATTTTCTAAAGTATCATTCTTTACATTATAGTAACATTTACGGATATCAAATAACATGAAAATAGCCCGTAAATATTATTACTAAATTGATGATTATTTTTGTAATGTAGGGTCAGGAGATTTATGTCGGCATAAGGATAGGCTACGGGCTGGATGTCCAAGGAGTCAGTGTTCGAGTCCCGGCAGCAACATGAAACTTTTACCTACACAGCTTCAAGAACAATTTATGGGCCAAAATAGTCCCTTAACCAGTGGGTACATGCGGCTGTTTCCCCGCGTGTAAATGGCCGGGGCGTGAATCTGACTTACCTCCATCTAATGAGGAGGTCAAAGATTGTGGAGCTATAGCTCCTTTCCCCATAAGCCTCCTGGGGAATAATTATTGAAAATAAATTTGAAAGCATACCCAATATCTTGGCATATTTAGAATGTCACACCACAAAATAAGGTAAGGAAAAATACTGTGACATGTAAATCCACTGCTGGGTAACGGCTTATTGATACACTTCTCCGAGGTTATGACAGAGGCATCGAGTCCTAGGTAACACATATAGAAACATTCCCTTTACAAATGAGAGGTAAACGTTGTTCATACAGAAACGAAAGACAAAAACTCGATATAGGAACCCTTGGAGACGGTGATCTCTCTACGGTACGACCAATCCCTACATCAGGGAGAGATAAACTATAAGATGAGATACTGGAGAGTTCTACTGAGTAGTAGAAAGCCCCCCCAAAAAAGACAGAAGAGAGGAGATTGGGTACAGACCTGCTCACCGAATTCATACAAGGCGCATCTAAGGGCGGACAGTTGAAGAATTTGTGTGCTCTTGTTCCAGTAACCTTTTGAAATGTACGTATAAATGTTTGTAGATCCGCCTGGTGATTGCCCAATAAATCGATTCATCAATCCAGAGAACCCATTAATTACTTGTCGCGTTACCAGGATACGTGACAATACAAAGCTATCTCTGTAACATGCCTTTGAGGCTGGAGGGTTTTGAGACGTCGAGGCTTCCACATTTTTCTAGACAATCAGGTCGCAGATGGCAGTGAAGCTGTCAGCCTTACTCGCATGTCATGAAATGTGGGCCGAGCAGGATAGTATATCGGTAAAGCCTTGGACTTCTATTAGGGAGGTTACTCGGTTCTAATCTCGACCAGGACAGCGGCTACACTGACATGTTCTTCGTAATTTCTCTCAGTCCCTTCAGGCATATGCCAGGACAGCATCCCGATTAAATCACGACAGCTTCCTTCCGAATCTTTTCCGATTCATCATTCATCTACAATTCGACACCATTTTCTGTAGCTGTGGACAACGTCGTAAAATAATCCACAAGACCAGTTTTCCAGAACTGCCCTCATTAGATGCTGGGCGTATGCTCTACAGTTAGTATTAACATTCACAGATGGCTCCACAAATGATGAAGATTGAAACTAACTACGGAAACAAATGTCTAACATCATGGAGAATTAAGAATGTCGTGCCACGAAAGTGGGTAAAGTTACCATATTTGAGGACCACGCAGTGGCGTAGTTGGTTGGGGCACTATGCTACAAGCCGGAAGGTCGCGCGTTCGATTCCCGATGAGATAATTAGTTTTTTCAATTGACCTAATCCTTCCAGCGGCACTATGTCCCTGGAGTAGACCCACCCTCTAACAGAAATAAATACCAGGAATCTTCCTAGGAGTAAAGGGCGGCCAGCCAGAACGTAAGACTGACAACCTCACTGTCATCTGTGAGTCGATTGTCTAGAAAATGTGGGAGCCTCTACGTCTCCCAACCCTATCGGCCTCCACGACTTGTTATATTGATAATTTTACCCTTAGCTCTTTTACTTTACTTTAAATTTCGAAGA